AAGGAAGGGAAGGAAGCAAGGAAGGGAAGGAAGGAGGGCAGAAGAAATGCAGCGAGGAAGGAAGGGCGGGAAGGAGGGAAGGATGAGTGCAGGGAAAGAAGGAAGGAAGCAAGGAAGGAAAAGGAAGGAGGAAGGAAAGAAGGAAGGAAGGGAGGAAGGAAGGAAGGGAAGGAGGGCAGGAGGGAAGGAGGGAAGGAGGGAAGGAGGAGTGCAGGGGATTCTTTGGGATATACACATAATGGAGAATGTATCCTTTGTTGGCTAAATGAGAAGATGGAAATGCAATGATCTACCCACGCACCTTCCCATCCACACAAACGCTTTCCCCGCTAAACCCCCCTCCCTGCCATACTAGATACACTCAAGTAGCAGGAAAACCGAAATAGGTTGAGCTTTTCCCCACACCGCTCCAACGCCCCCCTCCTCTGGTGCTCCCTCCCCAGCACCTATACCAATCATAGCTGCGTTTTGAATGACGTTTGTGCAAACACACCAGTCCTGTCGAGGAGAAGAGGTTACCACAGCGACAGAGCCCTAAATTTTCAGGAGGGTGTTTTCAGGGTCATCATAACAAACGTCCCGCACCTTTTAAGCCAGACTTGTCACCAGTCCATAGAGTGGACAGTGGACATCAAAAAAAAAATAAAAAAAAAATCAGGAAAACAAAAAAAGAAGTAAAGAAATGGATCAAAGCGGCCTAAAACCTGACGGCGAAAGCGTGTTTTCATGCAAAATTCACTCTTTTCGGTTTTTCAGGATTTTCAGGATTTTCGGGTCTGACCAAAACAGTCATCTCCAAGACCACAACAAACACCAAACTTGGCACACGCAGACCTTGACGCAAAAAAAAAGAACAGATTAAAAAAAAAAACTAACAAGAAAAATCCCCAAATGCACTTTTCAGTGTTGGGGATGTTAACCTGGGCCTGAAAAGTAGGGGTCCCTGTTAACCACTTCTTGTACCCCTGGATGGACTGTCTTGGTTGTTGACAAGCGGAAAGGCCATTTGACAGACAGGGACCCCCACTTTCACTTTTTAGTGTTGGGGGTGTTAAACCGGGGCTGAAAAGGCAATGTCTAAGATAAATTCCTTTTTTTTTTTTTTTTTTTTTTTTTTTTTAAAAAACCCCCGCCAGTGTTAGTGGTGCTGATAAGAGCAGGCACCACTAGCACCTGGGGGGAATGTCTGAGATAAATTCCAGTTGCGTTGAATGTTCAATTCTCTACAACACAGTGACGATTTGCACGTGCATGATCATACATCCAGATGAGACTTGGCATGAACCTGATCTTCTTGTTTGACAGGTTCATTCTGAGGTAGCATGTGATCGCACCAGCCTGGTTACTAGGATGATAAGTCACATCATCACATGTATAAACACTGCAAAAAAAGCCGAAAAAGACTCGAAACATGGATCTCCAACCTGATGGTGATAAGTAAAAAGCACTTCTTTTAGCTGAAGAGAGGTTTCACACGATGATGAACTACATATGCTCCGTTCACAAAACCATTCACTGATTGGCCATCTCGTCAACGGAATCAAATCCTACCTGAGGTCCAAGAAAAAGCCCGAAAGGAACTCCCTCAAATTTGTCTGCATGGTGAAGCTGCACATGTCAGGGAAAAAGAAACGAAAACAGACAAGAGTCATCAATCAGTAAGTGGTAAGAATCAGTGGCCCATCAGAAATCCTTAATACTTAATAACAAGTTAATAATAAGTCGAAAAAAACAGGTTAAGGATACTTGATATCATAATAACTTAATCAGTTAATAACTAATAATAAGTAATGATAACCAATTCAATTGCCTTCCTTTTCATGAAGTACGAGGACTTTTGCATGGCTGCATGGCGCAATGGGAGAAATGGGAGAAATGGAATTCCAGTAGACACTCCACCCTTGCAG